CTTTTCGTACAGCAGAAGCTCGAGCTGATGAATCCCTGAGAAAGATCTAACTGCTTACAATGGTTTATGCTGTTTCGTGCTGCTCACTGCTCAGATCAGAAAACAGGAACAAATAGGCCCAAGCTAAAATAACATATTGGCCTAATTTGAAGTCAAAAGGCCCAAACCCAAGAAAAGGACTTTTGTTTTTCGTTTTTCCACTCAAAACGCAACCTTAAACGCCGTTTTTGTCCCCTTCAATTCATACATCTCATTGCAGCAACATTAGCTTGGCAATTAGGTATTGAAATATTAAAAGTTAATATTTTTAAATAAAAATAATTAAAAATTAATATTTTTAAACAAAAAAAATTAAAATTTGATATTTTTATTTAAAAATTAATAAAATTAATCTCTTTAAATAATAAAAATACAAAATTAACATATTTATTTATACATTTTTTTTGGTTAAGAACTTAAGAATTCAATCGAATATAACAAATTAAAACCTTAAAATGAGTGGTAAGAGATTAAGGAAAGAAAACGACTATGTTCAATTATATAGTCCATCATCTAATGGACAAAAGCCTAATAAAAAAGAAAAAAACATGATTAGCTGAAGAATCAACAACTTTAGTGACTACATACATTAAGGTTGTTCTTTTAATTGTTTTAAGGCTAAATTCCTGTTTGTCCCCTAAACATTTTTTCTTTCATGAGCAAAATCCTAAACTAATTTTCATGCCCATCAACATATTTCATAATTTGTAACCAGTAAATAACCCGGGTTTACCGTCTCTGGGCCCCGGGGTTTATGCTATTTCGTCCTGCTGCTCCCTGTCAGAAAGAGGAGGAAATAGGCCCAATCTAAAACAGAATAAAGGCCTCATTCCAATTCAAAGTCAAAGGCCCAAAGAAAAAGGAGCTTCAAAACTAACGAGTTTACTTCTCTGTCTTTTCTCTCTTTTTTCAAACTTTTTCCAATCAAACGCAACCTTAAACACCGTTTTTTGTAGTTGGACCGAATTTAAGGCCCATGTAGCATTCCATGGAGAGTCAAAAGGTCAAAACACGCTAGGAAAAGGTCTAAATCTTTCAGAGATCGGAGCCCCGCCGGAGGCCACCATTGCTTCAGTTTGAAGACAAGGGACTTCAATCGGACGGCGAAGCTAGAAATTTGTGAGGGTAAGTTAGCAGATCTCTTTGTAAGATTATGCAAGTCGCCGTCTTTTCTTACTGTTGGTTCCCTTTTCGTGTATTAATTATTTGATCTGGATTCTGGATCATAGCCGGCACCCGTGAATCGTGCTCACAGGGTCAGTGTCTAGAGAATTTGGGGTTAAACTTCTTTGAAATGTGGTTAATTTGTTACGGATGGGTGTTTTAATTATGGATTTTGCAGGATTTTGATAGGAGTCGTGGAAGGGCAGCTCCCAAATACTAAGAAATGGATGGTGTTTACCCTGTTTATATAAATTCGAAAAAAACTGTAGCTGAAGGGAGGCGGATTAGCTTGAGCAAAGCATGTGAGAATCCTACTTGTGTTGAGATTGGCGATTGCTGTAACCATCTCAAACTCCCATCTGTTATTGAGGATAGTTTATGGATTCGTTTTCCACATTTCTTTGATCTTGCTTGGTAATTATGGCAATTTCATATGGTTAAAAGATTTATGTTGTCCTGCCTCATTGGTCCATACAAGTTGTTGCAGCAAGATCAGCTAAAGAACAAACTTTGATGTACACATGCTTAAGATTGTTCCTTTAATTGTTTTAAATTACAATGTCAAATTTCTTGAACTAAAAGAGTTGAAATTTCTGAGGATGTTATGGTGTTTGCTCTAAATGTGCATAGAGTTTGACTGCAGTTAGACCTTGTAGCCTATGTGTTTGTGATGAACTGTAGCTACCTGGAAAGGTTGAGCGAAGCAATTCTATATCCTACAATATGCTTGATATGCAGACCAGAGCCATCATATTCAAAAGCTGAATATTTTCCCTGCTTGCCTACCTCAGTTCTGATGTGCTCTCACTGACTGTTAACTGTTACATTACATTAAACCAGCAGCTCTTGTTACTTGTTGTCATGACTCGTGAATTTTGCAATGCAGATTGATAAGGCATATCCTCGCTACTTCATGCAAAGAGGGAGAAATGATGGTATTGCCGAAAAGGGAAGATGGGACCTTATACAATCCAATCATTTCTTCTAATAAGGGTACTTTCTACTTGAATTGTTCCTAATTTCTATTGCATCTTGAGATAGTTTTCATGCTTCTCGTGACTACTTTTGGATTAGATGTGTGGATTTCATTATTATATTGTTAAATCAGAATTGTTGAAAGGGTGCACAAATAGTTATAGTTTCTTTGGATTCAGTTTCCGTACCCTTTAAATGCTAGTAATATTCCATGTCAGTTGAGACCAACGTGGCCCTAACTCTTAAGCACGCTCCACACACGAGAGGTTTTTTTGAATGGGTTTACAATTTGGGGAAGGAGGATTCGAACCCTAGCCCTTGCACCTTTCGAGTCAGCTTATTGCCATTGGACCGCAAGGTCCAGGTGCATTCCGTATGCGAGAGTTTGACAACTATTGCCTCAACAAATGTAATGTCCCTTCCAAGACAATGCAGTTAAAAGTTTAGCTGACTAAAGCACTCATAGCCAGTATTTTGTCATTTGCGGGTTTACTTTCCAAATCAATAAAGTGGAGTTAAGCAGAAAGAACCACCAGGTGTTGGTGCAGATAGACACACCTCGCTGTTATGTTCAGGGCAATGAAGATACAAGGTTTTTCCATGGAAGAAAATTCTCACAAATCATTATCTTGGCTGCGTGTATCCCAAACTGATTAACTTCTCCATCAGCTTCTTTTCAGCATTTGCCTAAAATCCCATGAAAGAAAAGGGTAAATGTGAAATCAACAACATCATGTTCCAAAGCATGCAAGAATATGCCAATGGCAGATGAAATTATTAGACAATGCTCCTCTCTTCACTTGAATTGGAAAGAGGGAGCAGGGCTATTAGAGCAATTAACCAGCAATATGCTTGTCTTCCAGCCACTCTCATTCACATTGGAGGGTTATTGGTCTACCAATGGTTAAAATCCGTTAAGTTTTCCTACAAGTCTGGATATGGCTCCAGGCCAAAAGTTCAAAACTTGTGTTAAATGCAAAATAAAAATCTTAAAATGTAAAGGGAATGTGAGAATACTCAAACAAACAATCTCTCCAATATCAGTACGAGGTGAAAACATGACAAGATTCTACCAAAAAGAAACTTCAATGCATTACAATGACTTATGATAAGAGACAGAGAAAGAATGATAGGGGAACAAATCAAACCTCAAGCATGGGGCTATTCTTTGGGATACTGCAAGCAAGAATTACGTTGAGACCAGTTTTTAACACTGCCATGGAAACAAAAAATTGCATTTAGCCCACAATCAAAACAAACATAACAAAACAAAACATATTGATAGAAATTTACCTAATCGCCTAGCGATTCCAGACCCAGTGTTATCTGAAGAACCTCCAAGAACGGAAGTCACACCGACCGTGTTGCTCTGTTTCCTCCATCAAAGCAAATGACAATTTAACCAGTATTGATTATCAATTATTAATCCCTGAATTTTGAAGGTTATAATCTTACAGGTCGTGTCGATGCAGCTGCGTACAAGTCACCGAATTTTGTAGAGTTGCAACCGATCCATGCATATATCTGTTTGTAATTAGAAAGCGATCAACTTCTGGATATAAAAAGTTCAGAAATTCAACTAATTAAATATCGATACCTGTTTAGGGAAACGAATGATTTGGAAGTGGAAGGTAGCGTCATCCACTAGCTCGCTAAAGCAGGTGATTTCAAGTCCGCCAGCGGCGGCGTTGACGGTGGTGGTAAGGTGCGTTGACTGATCTTGGAGTTTGAGAGACTGATCGGAGACTAGGTCGGAGTTCAAAGCACCGTCGTATTCTGGTTCTCTTCCAGCCATTATCGTACTGCAGAAGCTCCAGCTGATGACACCGGGGGAAAGCCCTCTCTGCTCTGGGGTTTATGCTCGCTGTTCTGATCAGAAAATTGGAAGAAATAGGCCCAAACTAAAAGAAAATAGAGGCCTAATTTGCAGTCAAAAGGCCCAAAAGAGAGAAAAGGACTTTTATAGGCCCAAAGGAAAAGATACAAGCCATTCATGTATTTATTCAGAATACATAACATGATTTCTTTATTTTTTTATACAATGATAGGATTCCCAATAGGAGATAACTATCCCATTTTCAAACCCCTACACACTCATATAACATGATATTACCCTCTAGAAGTAGTCAAACGGGTAAATAATTGTCTGAACTTCTAAGTTCACCTATTGCCAAACCCTATAATCGCAAACAAAACATATGGTTTAAATGGAACACGACTTTCACTCTTGATACTCGTCCATATTCCTGCCTCTATTATCTAGAGCGGAGCTTTCCCATACTTACTGCGGATGATGGTAAGCGAGAACTGAATATAAACTTTGCAGCACGGTAAGTAGAAGCAAGATAACCGCAGCAATGACGGAAATTGATGCCCATGGAGTGTTAAAGTAATTGTGCCTTAAGTTTGCCTTCCACTGGTTCCACTTTCTGTTGCAATGCTCGTTCACTCTGTTGAGTATCACGGAGTAGTGGAAGTTATTCTCTGAGATCACAACAGAGTCGCAGAGTCTGTTAAACATGGTGGCAACGACTTCATGACTACCCAAGCAATTATCAAGAACTCCACAGTGACAAAGTAATCCAACGTCCTTTCCTGTGTTGATGAGGCGATCCATGAATGTAATATAAGCCGAGAAGGGTGTTGAGAAAATGCCCACGTTGCACTGTTCATAAGCAACGAAATTTCGAAAGATGGATTCTGTATCATCATCGACTACTAGGGTTGGAATTGACATCACCCCCTTTTCAAACTCTATATCAAACAAGTTCCCCTCTTTTTTCTGGAACTTGATCCCGGCCTCATTGAGCTCAGTTGCAGAACGACTGAAACGCCATTCTCGCGGTTCAGACATTCCTGCAAGTACCAGTGCCGGTGCTAAACAGGGCAGCCAGCTTGGAAATGGCCGCCTACTTGCCCATGCTAAACAGCGCCCCCACCATGGAGAACTTGCTGTTGCTGAACTAGGTGGCCTTCCAGATGTACGAGTTACAATATCATGGAGCAAGCCGAGCATATGCTTGGCGTCCAGATTCTCGGCACGTGCTATAAGTGGAAGTCCTGGCACCATTCTATGGAAGCAAAAAATTACACCTTCGACAATGTTGTCCTCTGAATCCCTTCTGAGCAGACCCCCCTGAATCATAGACATGGAATGTAACTTGGAGAGTACAGAGAAAGGAAGTTGATTTTCAACTAGCAGCAGATCGCGCAATACATTATTCCCATGAATATTTGCAAGCGCATTTTTACTGAGGAAAATAAGCTCAATGATAAAGAATCCATCAAGAAGCATCATTTCTACTAGTTCTTCCCCACTAATATCCAGATTTTCTGAATAAAATCCGCGAATTTTTTCTTCCATTTCTTTCAAGGCCGTCACATATTTCTCCACACTATTTTCTCCTGTGTAGTCAAGAATCGATTTTAGACTCTTCATTTTCTGCACCTCCATTGCCTTCAGGTGCTTTTTACCATGGTGGTAAGGGCCAATGGAGATCACTCGAGGTTCATAGGCCTTTTCATTTATCTCGCGTAAAGGACAAGGCACTTTGAAAATCATATGGCTTGAACTGTTTATTAAAGCAGGATCTCGGAGCTTTCGATTTATTCTATCGTGAAGAGCTTCTTCTGTTCCATCTGCCATTACTACTCACAAAAAAAAAAAAAAAAAAAAAGAAAGAACGATCACTGAAAACTTCTACTCATTTATCCCAATGGAAAAAGAAAAATAAATTGAACCAGTTAGGTCCAGCCTGGTTTGGGAGAAGCCAGGTCTCACGGACCGTCCAATTGCTACGTAATATTTGGTACCAGCATGCGTTCAGTGCGGAGTTCCAAAGTAACACATTCTTTATTATACAAGGAACAAGTTAAGGCAACATCAGAAGGGTCAAAAAAAAAAAAAAAAAGAAGAAGGGGGGGAAACAAGCTAAGGCAAATAGCCATTTCTAATGAGTTTAAGATTTTTCTAGATGCATATGCTTGTTAATTTGTCCAAATGAAAAAGGAAAAGTAAAGTGAACCAGTTAGGTTCAACCAGTTCGGGAGATCGTCAGGTAGTATTTGGTACTAAGGTGTGTTGGACTTCCATTCTTTATTACATAAAGAACAAGCTAACGCAACATTAAAAAAAAAAAAGAAAAAAAAAATAAGAATAAGAAAAAAAAATAATTTTATTATTTTTTAACATATTTAAAAATAAATATAATTAATTGGATCATATTAAAGATGAATAAGGAGAAAAAAATTGATAAAATAATTTACAAATTTTTATAAAAAATTCACCATTTTAGTATTAGGTCATTTTCTTTTAAAAATTGAATGACAAATTGCCTAACTAACATGAATGAATAGAAAAATGTGAAAACTTGGATGAAAAAACATAATCAATCCTATAAAAAACCGGAAATGCTATATTAGCCAAGAAAATTATACATTTTCTGTTCAACTTTAATAATTTTAATTTAATTTTTTAATTTTTTTAGACATTAATTTTATATGAAATTTTAAATAATTAATTTTTTTATCAAATAAAAATATTCAAAAAAATTACATATAAAAAATAAGTTTTTAATTGTTATTCATATTAATTGTTCAATTTTCATTTAAAATTTATGTTTTAAAAATTAAAAAATTAAATTAAGATTATTAAAATTGAATAAAAAGACTGAAGGAGTAATTAAATTAGATTAAAATTCATTTAAATGCTATATTGAAAATTATATATATATATATATATAAATAACTGCAATCACGTGTCGAGCATGATGAACGGAAAAGAAACTGTATTGAATGCATATTTGAAAAGAAAGTATTGTATTTCAAGTTCTAAAATTTAAATACATGGTTTTATGGATCAATGACTTCCAAAATAACACATTCTTTATTGCATAAAGAACAAGCTACCGCAATATATATATATATATATATATATATATATATCATTCTTGATAAAATTTAAGGTGAAATAGGAACTAACACCAGAACTCAAATCTACAACCTTAAACCACAAAACTCTCGCCGAGTAAACCCCACAAATTAAACAATGAACAAAATTCAAGATTTAATTCATATGAACTGCAAGAAAGAGTAAAAAGAACATCATCCTAGCACACAAAATGAAAAACCCAGAACCAAAAACAGATCTACAAGCATAAACTAAGTAAACCAAGAGGAATTCGAAAACCAGAAGCAAAATTAATTGACAAAAGCAAAGCCTACCCAAGAGAAGTGAAAAGAAAGTGGGTACCTGAGAAAGAGAGAGGGATGATAAACTCTACTTGAATTGAACAGGATTTGGAGTTGTTAGGCAAGTTCAAAGAGGCAATGAAGAAGTGTATAAATAGGTGAAGAGTCATATAGGAGAATATCACGGAAAGAATCAAGGCTCTAGACAAGGAAACAATCCATCATTATAACTGTCTCAATCCTGTCGATTCTTTGCTTGCTGGTTATGTATGTCCTTATATACTTGTGTTAGTTTAGGCTAGACTTTAGTCTCCAACTTGTATATATACCTTTCATTCTGTACAAAGTACAAGGCTTTCCATTCAATCATTCTTATAGTTCTCTAGAATTTTCATGGTATCAGGGCCACTTGGCTTATAGACGACAAGTTCTTGCCTAAATATTCATTGTTGACAGCAAGTTTTTACTGCACCTCTTATTTAACAAATGGCAGATGGGGACCAAAACCAAGAAGTTAGACCTGGGAAGATAGGGGGAGCAAGGACAACCTTCAAAACAACAGATTCACACTCGCCTTACTACCTTCACCCAAGTGATGATCCTAGAAGGATTCTTGTGACATCTCTTATGAACGGAGATAACTATCACACTTGGAGGAGAGCAATGCAAAATGCCCTTTATGACAAAAACAATGCGAGATTCGTAGATGGAACTGTCATGAAGCCTGCAGCAACTTCACTTGAGTATTAAGCTTGGATGAAATGCAATTCCATGGTATTCTCATAGATCCTTAATACCATCACCACAAAATTGCAAACTAGTGTGGCCTATGCTGAGACTGCAAGAGAAATCCTAAGTGATCTACAGGAACGATTTACTCGAGGGAATGCATCTCGTGCACATGAACTAAAACTTGAGTTAGCAACACTCACAAAGCAGACAAGGTCAGTGGTTGCCTATTTTACTAAACTGAAACCTCTATGGGATAAGTTAAAGGCATATGAACCAATATCAGTTTGTACATGTGGAGCAACAAGGGAGTATACAAAGGCTCAAGAGACGGAGAAAGTTCACCAATTTCTAATGGAACTGAATGAAAACTTTTCCGTTACTCTTTCTCAGATATTAAGCATGGAGCCATTACCTTCCCTAAACAAGGTTTATGCAATGGTGACTAAAGAGGAAAAACAGCAAGCAGTGGTGGCATCTAGAAGTTCGACTGTAGAGGCCACAACTTTTGCAGCCAAGACAAACACTTCTGCATGAGCCACAACACTAGGGAAAGCATGATGTGACCATTGTAAAAAGATGGGACATACCAAAGACAGGTGCTACGAGATCATTGGGCACCCTACAAGTTGGAAGCCTGGGACAACCCAAACCAAGTCAAGAGGTGACACACGAAAACATCAAAGCAAAGAAAAGGACTTAGTTTTTGTAGCTAACATTACACAAGAGTCTATAGAAGGTTCATCAAATCAATCTCCAATTTTTGGATTAACTAAGGAGCAGTATGATCAACTCCTTTCTCTCCTAGGTGGTAATGTTCCTCCTACTCATTTGGCCAACCTTGTGGGTAAGGCACAAAGTCTACCATTTTCTTGGATTATTGATAGTGGAGCTTTAGACCACATGACATCATTTTTATCTAAATTCACCATTGCAAAACCTTATACATCACTTGTCTGCATACCCATTGGCTCCTCTATACAGTTATCTCATGTGGGAAAAGTAACCTTAGCCAATAAAGTTACCTTGGACAATGTCTTATATGTCCCAAAATTTACTTACAATCTTTTATCTGTTGGAAAATTGACCAAACAACTTTGCTGTGCTGTAATTTTCTTTCCTAATTTTTGTGTTTTTCAGGACCTTACCTCGAGGAAGCTAATTAGAGTGGGTAAGCTTCATAAAGGGATCTATGATTGCATTTGTTGGACGTGCTACAACAACTAGTCAAGCCAAGCAAGAGCAAAGCACATCATTTGAATCTGGCATCAAAGACTTGGGCACATCTCTATTGACCATTTGTCCAAAATTCCCTCCCTATGTCCTTCTTCTCAAATAAAACATATTTGTGGCATATGTCATAAATCTGAATAGACTCGATTATCATTTCCTATTAGCAATAATAATTCTACTCACATGTTTGCCTTGATTCACTGTGACATTTAGGGAAGATATGCCATCCATTTTAATAGTGGTGCTCCTTATGTTTTAATCATAGTTGATGACTTCTCTTGTTGCACTTAGGTTTACCTCCTAAAACATAAGTCTCAAGCTGTTACTTATTTAATAAATTTTTGTCAAATGGTTGAAAGTCAATTTCAAACTTGTGTTCAACATATTCGCAGTGATAATGGATGAGAATTCACTAATTGACCTATAAAAGAATTTTGTCTCAAAAAGGGGATTCTGCAACAAACCTCATGTGTAAACACACCACAACAAAATGGGGTTGTTGAACACAAGCATCCTTTTCTACTTGAGGTAGCACGAGCACTTCGATTTCAAGCCAACCTACCCTTGAATTTTTGGGGTGAGTGTGTTCTTATAGCCACATATTTAATAAACTTAACTCCAACACCTATTCTTTTAGGTCTTACCCCATTTGAAAAGCTCTTTAACAAACCTTCCAAATATGATCATTTGAAAATCTTTGGTTTCCTTTGTTATGCCCGTAACCATTCCCAAAATCATGGCAAATTTGACTCTAGGGCTTATAAATGCATTTTCATTGATTATCCTTTTGGAAAGAAAGGTTATAAATTATTTGATTTGGAAACTAGGCAAATATTCACTTTCAGAGATGTTATTTTCTATGAAAATGTTTTTCCTTTTCAGCCATCTAAATTCAGTGAGCAACACTATGGCATATCTAATCCTAATATTACATAATTGTCCATTAAAGAGTCTCATTTACCTACCGATGACACCCAATGTTTTGGAGTCAAACTCTCATGGGCCAAAATTGGCAGAGCATAATGAGTCTCTTGGGGAAACTTATAACACACAGCCTATACATCAGCCAACGCTTACCACTGACCTAGGGACCCAATCTATACAGACTTTGAGGCCACAACATGAATGACGTGCACCACAACATTTGGATGACTATGTTTGTAGCATGCCTCCATCCATTAATCCAAATCAAGCTCCACTCAACTCAGCTAACTAAAGTATTATCTATCCTATTTCTAAATCATGTGTCATATGCCTCATTTTCCCTTAACCATCAAGCTTATCTAGTGGCCATCACCTCCTTAGATAAGCCAAAAACATTTTCACAGGCTATCAAAAGTGAAAAATGGGAGGAAGTAGTGAGAAAGGAGATCATTGCACTTGAGCAAAATGGAACTCGAACACTTTAGTCATTATGTCCAGGCAATCGAGTTATAGATTCTAAATGGGTTTACAAGATTAAGTACCAGCAAGACAAGACGGTAGAACTGTGTAAGGCAAGGCTTGTGGCAAAGGGTTTCACACAAATAGAGGGGCTGGACTATCATGAAACTTTCACCCCTATGGCTAAGCTTGCCACAATTTGAGTTTTGCTCGTCGTTGCTTCCATTAAGCATTGGGAACTTCACCAATTAGATGTCAACAATGCCTTCTTGCAAGGAGATTTACATGAGGAGGTTTACATGAAAATCCTGCAAAGCTTTCAAATTAAACATGAAAATAAAGTCTACGGGTTGTGAAAATCACTCGATGGGCTCAAACAAGCCTCTCAAAACTAATATGAGAAATTTACAAAGTTACTAAGGGCAGTTGGTTTCAAGTAAACTTATGTAGATCATTCCCTCTTCACATCCTACATTGGAAGGAGTTTTGTTGCTGTTTTGATTTATGTTGATGATATAATCATCACCAGTAATGATACTGTTCAAATTGCAACCCTTAAATGATATCTCCATGCCAAATTTTCCATCAAGGATCTCTGACCATTGAAGTATTTTCTTGGTATAGAAGTCACACGTACAAGTGAAGGAATTGTTTTAAACCAAAGAAAATATGCTTTGCATATTCCAACAGATACCGAAACGATTGATGCCAAGCCAAGCTCATTTCCCATGGAACAGCATCATGGTTTAGCTATGGCCTCAAGACCCCTTGTTTTTGATCCTTCACAATATAGGCATTTGGTGGAAAGGCTTTTATACCTAACTATAACTAGGCCAGGCTTATGTTATTCGGTTAGTATATTAAGCCAATTTATGCATGCGCCCAAGCGAGAACATTATGATGCTGCTATGAAAGTCTTGTTCCTATGTGAAGTCCTCCCCTAGCCATGGCATACTTCTTTCTTCTTCTAGTCCACTACACCTCATCGCCTTTTGTGATGCAGATTGGATAGTATGTCCCCTCATAAGATGTTCAACAACAGGTTTTGTAAAATGTCTTGACAGTTCACTCATTTTGTGGAGATCAAAGAAATAAGTTACTGTGTCCAAATCCTCAGTAGAAGCGGAATATTAGGCAATGGTTGCCACTAAAAGTGAGCTAGCTTGGCTGAAGTCATTACTCTACGATCTTCTATTCTATCACTCACGGCATATGACACTTCATTGCGACAATCAAGTAGTTTTACATATTGCAAATAACCCTGTGTTTCATGAACGGACAAAACACATAGGAATTGATTGTCATTTCATTCATGAACGCGTACAGAAGAAACTGCACATGTATCTTCACAACAACAGCCAGCTGACCTCTTCACTAAAGCTTTAGGTCATGAAAGATTCCATGCTTTGTTAAGCAAGTCGGCATTCGAGATCTCCATGCACCAACTTGAGGGGGAGTATAGGAGAATATCACAAAAAGAATCAAATCTATAGACAAGGAAAGAATCCATCATCATAATTGCCTTAATCCTATAGATTCTTTGCTTGTTGGTTATGTATTTCCTTATATACTTGTGTTAGTTTAGGCTAGACTCTAGTTTCTGACTTGTGTATATACCTTTCATTCTGTATAAAGAACAAGGCTTTCCATTCAATCATTCTTATAGTTCTCTAGAATTTTCTTGTCAAAATACACAATTGGGGCAAGATTCATCTAGTGAGGTTGGGATGTGGAATTGTGGGGTAAGAGGCGAGTTTCTAAGAAGTAGGCTAGCTTCTGGAAGGAAGTAGGCTGACAATCAAGTAGCTTTACATATTGCAAATAACCCTGTGTTTCATGAACGGACAAAACACATAGAAATTGATTGTCATTTCATTCATGAACGCGTACAGAAAAAGGAGATTGAAACTGCACATGTCTCTTTACAACAACAGCCAGCTGACCTCTTCACTAAAGCTTTAGGTCATGAAAGATTTCATGCTTTGTTAAGCAAGTTGGCATTTGAGATCTCCATGCACCAACTTGAGGGGGAGTATAGAAGAATATCATGGAAAGAATCAAGTCTATAGACAAGGAAAGAATCCATCATTATAACTGCCTTAATCCTATAGATTCTTTGCTTGTTGGTTATGTATTTCCTTATATACTTGCGTTAGTTTAGGCTAGACTTTAGTTTCTGACTTGTGTATATACCTTTCATTATGTATAAACAACAAGGCTTTCCATTCAATCATTCTTATAGTTCTTTAGAATTTTCTAGTCAAAATACACAATTGGGGCAAGATTCATTTGGTGAGGTTGGGATGTGGAATTGTGGGGTAAGAGGTGAGTTTCTAGGAAGTATGTTGGCTTCTGGAAGGAAGTAGGCTAACAATCAAGTAACTTTACATATTGCAAATAACCCTGTGTTTCATGAATGGACAAAACACATAGAAATTGATTTTCATTTCATTCATGAACACATACAGAAGAAGGAGATTGAAACTGCACGTCTCTTCACAACAACAGCCAGCTGACCTTTTCACTAAAGCTTTAGGTCATGAAAGATTCCATGCTTTGTTAAGCAAGTTCGCATTTGAGATTTCCATGCACCAACTTGAGGGGGAGTATAGGAGATTATCATGGAAAGAATCAAGTCTATAGACAACAAAAGAATCCATCATTATAACTGCCTTAATCCTATAGATTCTTTGCTTGTTGGTTATGTATCTCCTCATATACTTGCATTAGTTTAGGCTAGACTTTAGTTTCTGACTTGTGTATATACCTTTCATTCTGTATAAACAACAAGGCTTTCCATTCAATCATTCTTATAGTTCTCTAGAATTTTCTAGTCAAAATACACAATTGGGGCTAGATTCATCTGGTGAGGTTGGGATGTGGAATTGTGGGGTAAGAGGTGAGTTTCTAGGAAGTACGCTGGCTTCTGGAAGGAAGTAGATATCAGAACACAAAACCTCAAAACTGTCCTCTGCTTGACTTTGCATTTGCAGAAAACACTTTTCAAGCAAAGTGATTGAGCTTGATATTTCACCCAAACTATTATTCATTTGGTCCTGCAGTGACTCATTCTCTCTTTCTTTCAAATTTATCAAGTACCTGAGTTGTTCAACTTCTCTAATCAAAATTGCTCTCTCTGCCATCAATTCTTCACTTGCTTGCTGCAACATATTATTTGATTCTTTAGCATTTTTATTTTGATTCAGCAATGCATTTAACATATACTCAACTTCTTTCATGGTTGTATGGGCTGCCTCAATTTTTTTTAAAAAGCTTCCAGTATGACTAATTTTCTCATCAGCCACTGCCTGTGAGTCGGAAAACTTTGAACAGAATAAAGAGCAAGTCATATTCACTTATTCAACTTACAATAGTGGAAGTTCCTAGTAAAACAATAATATACATTGCAAACAAATAACATTGGCAATTCGACATAAATGCATACCTCTCTAGCATTTTTGGAGTCTGCTTCTGCCTTCAACCCAAAAGATGGAATTGTATATTTCATCTCTGCAATGTATGGAGTTGATTAACTACCCATTTTACATATATATCTCATAATCATTTATTGAAAAGGGTAAATAGAAGGAAAACAATAGGTATTTTAGAAAGAAAAAAAAAAATCATACGCAAGTTCTGCAAAAAGCATTGTCCGATAATTCCTCAACATAAAAATACAATGATCCATCAACTAAAACTTCAGGTGAAAATTTGTACTGACTAGTTACAAAAACAAATCTTCCCTAGCAAAGCTCATAACAGATATAGATAATAGAACCCAAATCATTAACAACTGAGGAATCATAGCCAGTATTTTGTCATTTGGGGGTTTGCTTTCCAAAACAATAAAGTGGAGTTAAGGAGAAAGAACCACCAGGTGTTGGTGCAGGTAGACACACCTCGCTGTTATGTTCAGGGCGATGAAGATACAAGCTTTTTCCATGAAAGAAAATTCTCACAAACCATTATCTTGGCTGCGTGTGTCCCAAACTGACTAACTTTTCCATCAGCTGCTTTTCAGCATTTGCCTAAAATCCCAAGAAAAAAAGGGTAAACGTGAAATTAACAACATCATGTTCCAAAGCATGCAAGAATATGCCATGGCAGATGAAATTATTAGACAATGCTCCTATGTTTACTTGAATTGGAAAGAGGGAGAAGGGCTATTAGAGCAATTAACCAGTAATATGCTTGTCTTTCCAACACCCTCACTATCCATTAAGTTCTCCTACAAGTCTGGATATGGTTTCAGGCCAAAAGTTAAAAACTTGTGTCAAATGCAAAATATAAATCTTAAAATGTAAAGGGAATGTGAGAATACTCAAACAAACAATCTCTCCGATACCAGTACGAGGTGAAAACATAACCCAGAAAAAAAAAATGACAAGATTCTACCAAAAAGAAACTTCCAAATGCATTATTATGACTTATGATAGGCGACAGAGAAAGAATGATAGAGGAACAAATCAAACCTCAAGCATGGGGCTATTCTTTGGGATACTGCAAGCAAGAATTATGTTAAGACCAGTTTTTAACACTGCCATGGAAACAAAAAATTGGATTTAGCCCACAATCAAAAGAAACAAAACAAAACATATTAATAGAAATTTAGATTCCAGACCCGGTGTTATCTGAAGAACCTCCGAGAATGGAAGCCACACCGACCGTGTTGCTCTGTTTCCTCCATCAAAGCAAATGACAATTTAACCAGTATTCATTATCAATTATTAATCCCTAAATTTTGAAGGTTATAATCTTACAGGTCGTGTCGATGCAGCTGCGAACAAGTCACTGAATTTCGTAGAGTTGCAACCGATCCATGCATATATCTGTTCGTAATTAGAAAGCGATCAACTTCTGGATATAAAAAAACGTCAGAAATTCAACTAATTAAATATCGATACCTGTTTAGGGAAACGAATGATTTGGAAGTGGAAGGTAGCGTCATCGACGAGCTCGCTAAAGCAGGTGATTTCAAGAGCGCCAGCGGCGGCGTTGGCGGTGGTGCTAAGGTGCGTCGACTGATCTTGGAGTTTGAGAGAGTGGACGGAGAGTAGGTCCGAGTCCAAAGCACCGTCGTACTCTGATTCTTTTCCAGCCATTATCGTACTGCAGAAGCTCGAGCTGATGATACTGGAAGAAAGCCCTCTCTGCTCTGGGGTTACCATCTAAAAGTAGTCAAACAGGTGAATAATTGTGTGAACTTCTAAGTTCACTTATTGCCAAACCCAATAACAGCAAACATAACATATGGTTTAAATGGAACACGACTTTCACTCTTGATACCCCACCACATTCCTGTCTCTAGTCTCTATTATCTAGAGAGGAACTTTACCATACTTAATGCTGAAAATGGTAAGCTAGAACTGAATATACACTTTGCTGCACGGTAAGTAGAAGCAAGATAACCGCAGCAATAACGGAAATTAATGCCCACGAAGTGTTAACGTAATTGTGCCTGAAGTTTGCCATCCACTGGTTCCTCCTTTTTCTGCAATGTTTGTTCACTTTGTTGAATATTTCAGAGTAGAAGAAGTCCTCCTCGGCAATCAAAACAGCATCACAGATTCTGTTAAATATGCCAGCAATCACTTCATTATCACCTAACCTATTTTCAATGACTTCATGCCAACGGAGTAATTCAACATCCTTCCCTGTGTTGATGAGGCAATCCATGAATCTAATATAGTCTGTGAAGTGTCTTGAAGTTATGTCCTTGTAGCACTGTTCATAAGCAACTAAATTTCGAAGGATAGATTCTGTATCATCAACAATTTTTAAGGTTGGAATTGACATTACCCCCTTTTCAAAATTTATATCAAATAATCTATCCTCGATCTTTTCAAACTTGATCCCTGCCTCGTGAAGCTCTGATGCAGAACGAATTGTTTGCCAATTGCAATTTTTTTCTTCATGAACTTTTGGCTTTACCATGCGTTAAATGGCTTCCTTCGATTTCTTGAGTGCTGAAAATAGTGCATCATTCAATTTCATTGAACACTGACGATGATGATTATCTTCAATAGCCCCATTTGAAGACTTCCCGGATTCTGCTTCTGTCTCTAAAGGGGGCAGAGACTTTCCTTCCTCTGATGTCTTGGGTGGAGGAAATCTTACAGGCGACAATGAACACGGCACGATCTCTACATACTCGAGTTTTTCAGAACTTACTGACTCTAAATCGCTGGGATTAGCACTCATAAGAACTGCGTCAGAGGAAGACTTTACAATCCCTGATGGCTTGGTTGTTGAAGAACTTGCTGACCTAGGTGAACAGGTTGCCTCAGGTGGGGGAGGCCTTACTCCCTTCGGTGCCTCCGGTGGGGGAGGCCTTACTCCCTTCGGTGCCTCCGGTGGGGGAGGCTTTACTCCCTTCGCTGCCTCAGGTGGGGGAGGCCTTACTCCCCTCGCTGCCTCCGGTGGGGGAGGATTTACTCCCTTCGGTGACTCAGGTGGTGAAACGCAGCTATCATGTAGTAAGCCCAGTAGATGCTTGATGCGTAGGTGATTCTCAATTTTTTTACTACAAGGTCCTGGCATCATTCTGGAGAAGCAATTAATAGCCATATGCATGAAGTTCTGATCTGCTTCATTTGACATCTTAGTCATGTCAAACAACTTCTGAGTATAAAGAAAGGAAGTTGATTTTCAATTAGCAACAGATCCCGCATTACTGTTCTCAAAATAAAATGTGTAAGAAGATGGTCGTTTTCTTTTCTGAATTCTTCCATGGCACTCTTACGGATAAGTTCAACGACAAAGCATCCATCAAAGAGCATCATCTCTACAAATTTATCTTCTCCATCCTTCTGATCCGGGGATTCCGAATAATATTTGAGAGCATCTTCTTTAAGACCTTCGAAGGCCTCCACATATTCCTTCAGAGTCTTTTCTTTATTTCGGTCAAGGAGCATTTTTAGATAATGCTTTTTGTGCACTTCCATTGCCTTCAAGGGATCTTTACCACGGTGGTAAGGACCAATGGAGATCACTTGAGGTTCGTAGGCCTTCTCATTTATCTTTCGTAAATGATTAGGCACTCTGAAAATGCTACAGCTTAACGAGTTTGATGAAACAGGCCCTTGGAGCTCTTGATATATTCGAATGTAAAGAGCTTCGCCACTTCCAACCGCCATCTCCAGCCTAACAAAAAAAAAAAAAGAATCAAATGATTAATGGGGAAAAAAACTAGAAAATAAACATATTCATATTTTAAGTGAAAAGAAGAAGAAGAAGTGGTATATTCAAAGTCAAAAAACTTTAGGTAATTCCAAGAGGCACTGTTATGGCCACCACTACAAAACACTGGCCGATTAAACCCCACAAATTAAACAATGAACAAAATTCAAGATTTAATTCATATGAACTACAAAAAAGATTAAAAAGAACATTACCCTAGCACACAAAATGAAAAACCCAGAATCAAAAACAGATCTACAAGCAGAAACTAAGTAAACTAAGAGGGATTCGAGAACCAGAAGCAAAATTCATTAACAAAAGCAAAGCCTACCCAAGAGGAGTGAAGAGAAAGTGGGTACCTGAGAGAGAGAAAGAGGGATGATAATATCTGCTTGAATTGAAGAGGATGATTTCAAGCCCTCAGGCGAGTTCAAAGAGGGAGAAGCAATTTACAAATAGATAGATTGATCAGGTGAGGTTGGAATGTGGAACCGTAGGGTGGAAGGCGAGTTTCCAGGAAGTAGGCTGGCTTCTGGAGGGAAGTAGGAGTCGGTGGTGGTTGTGATTGGGAAGACCGCGTTTGCAACGCATTTGCAGCGCGTTCGTCTATTTGTGTCTCCACTTGATGGTTTGACAGCAGTTGGAATTGTTCATGTCACATATTCACCGAAAGTTGTTTAACGATCTTGGAAAGAGAGAACAATATGAGAACCTATTCAAGTCCAGGTTCAGTTAACATGTTGAAATGGGTAGAAG